CTTACCATCTTCTCCATTATCATAATGCTGCTGGGTTTGGAACAATAACCTACATATTACCATGGGGGATCTTCTTTTATACTTTAGAGAATATGGTTTAATGGAAAGACAGATGGTTTGGGTGTCGGTAGACCTGAATTATGGTCCTAGTTTTTCCATTAACATAACATGTTAACCTCTCTGGGCCTCATTTTCCTCATGTGTAAAATAAAGGTATTGGTCTCATCTAGGGGTCAACAGATTTTTCCTGTAAATGGCAAAATAGGAAATATTTTCGGCTTTGTGGGCCAAATGGTCTCTATTGCAACTACTATACTCTGACTTGTGAAAAAACAGGCATAGACAATTCCTAAACAAATGAATATGGATGTATTTTGAATAAAACTTTACTTACAAAAACAGGCAGTGCACTAGATTTGGCTCACAAGCAGTGGTTTGGCAAACCCTGGTCTATCGGTTATGAATTGTAATTAATTTTACTTGAAAGACAGTGGCTTAAACAAATGAGTTTTATTTTTCTCACCTAATGAAGAGTCCAGGGCTGGTACCACAGGTCCACAATGTCATCACAAACCAAACCTCTTTCTACTGCTCTGCTCCACCAATCATAGCTTACAGTTTCCATCCCTCAGAGCTGAAAGACAACCATGGTAGTTCCAGCTGTTATATCTATATTTCAGGCACCATGAAGAACAAGTGGGGGTGGAGAACAAAGTGGTCATGCTAGTTATTTTCCCTCTCTTTAAAGAGCAATGACTTCAACTTGCGTTTCATTGGCCACATTGGTCATAACACTTCCCTTGCAAGGGAAGCAGGAAATGTGGGTTTTAGCAGGCTCCACTGTTGCCCTGAAAAGAAATGAACACTTTTTCTGTAAACAAGGAGAGAGTGGGTATTCAGTAAGCAACTAGATGTCCCTACTACACTTTTAGATTCTAAAATTAAATCCAGATCTAACATCTTTGATTCCTGCCACTTGCCAAATGGTAATAGTATACAATAGTCAAGATATATTGCATGATAATGTGAATCTTTTAAAAATAAACTTTATTGTGGGAAGACAAAGAAACACCCCCCAAGTCAAAGAGAAAGGAGAAATCCCCACAAAGAGAACTAAATGAAATAGAGGCAAGTAAACTATCAGATAGTGAGTTCAAAACAATGATTCTAAGGAAGCTCAATGAGCTCAGTGAGCTCAGAAGGAGTTACAAAAATCTACAGGGAAACTATGAGGAACTTCCTGCAAACTATATCAGCATGGAAAAGGACATAGAAACTATTGATAAGAGACCAGAGGAAATGAAGAACACAACTTCTGAACTGAAGAACACAGTAGAAGGAATCAAAAGCAGGCTAGATGAAGCAGAGGAATGAATCAGCCAGGTGGAGGATAAGGTAGAAAAACAGCTCCCAGAAAGAGCAAGAAAATGAAAAAAGACTCAAAAAGAATGAAGAGGCATTGAGGGAAATGTAATAATATCCATATAATAGGCATACCAGGGGTAATAGGAATATAATAGGAGAATAAGAGGAGGAAGGGATAGAGAACCTGTTTGAAAAAGTAATGATGGAAAACTTCCCTAATTGGAGGAGAGAAAAAGGCACACAAGTCCAGGAAGCACAGAGGGTCCCATTCAGGAGGAACCCAATGAGGCCCACTCCAAGACACATCATCATGAAAATGGCAAATAGCAAAGACAAACACAGAATCCTAAAGGTAGCAAGGGAGAAACAGGTAGTAACATACAAGGGAGCCCCAGTATGGCTTGCAGCTGACTTCTCAACAGAAACAATACAAAAACGAGAAGGGAATGGCAAGAAATAATCCAAGCCATGAAAAGCAAAGGCCTGCAACCAAGACTGCTCTTACCCAGCAAGGCTCTCAATTCAAATGGAAAGTGAAATAAGGAGTTTCCCAAACAAAAGAAGGCTGCAAGAATACACCTCCACCAAACCAGCATTGCAAAATATCTTCAAGGGACTGCTTTAAGAAGATGAAGAAAAAGAATCTGTGAATACTCATTTCCTTTCACATTCACCAATACTTGATATGGCCAATATTTGTAATACTTATTAATCTGATTGTCACAATGATGTGTTATTTTAATTGTTCCTTAATTATTTGTTGACACTAAACCTGTTTTCATATATTTCTTGCCCATTTCTATTAATTTTAAAAATCTTTAAATGACTTTTTGGTATTCTTTATCCATTTTTTGATTAAAGGTTTGTAGAATTTTTGCCCTAAGGAAAACAAAACTATTAACCCTTTTTTAGATGTGTTGCAAATAGTCTCCTATTCTATTACTTGTCCTTTAACTTTTTTTATATGAATATTACTATATAGTTTTAAATATTAAATATAGTTATATTGTCAATATATGACTTTATAGCTCCTGGGTTTGAATATGTTACTTCAAGGTAAGAGAAATATTACTTTGCATTTTCTCCTAAAGCTCCTTAGATTCTACATATTGATTTTTAACTCACCTGAATATTTCTTGTATAATGTGTGACTTAAGGCTCTATATTTATTTCAAGTTATAGTGTTCCATGCACCTTACTTGTTGAATAAGCCTTATTTTCCCCACTGATTTGAAATATCAACTTAATCATATATTATATTGTTAGGCAGATATATACATTTGTTTCTAGAATGTTCATTTTATTTCATTGATCTACATGATTATTTCTGTGCTTGTGTCATGTTTTAATTGCTGAAACTTTATAATGGACTTAAATTTTTTTATATTTTTCATGGATTTTTACATTTAAAAAATAAATAAAATCAATGTGTATTTTAAAATAAAGAAAGGAAGAAAGAACTCCTACCTTTTGCGACAACATGGATGGAACTGGAGAATATTATGCTAAGTGAAATAAACCAGTCAGTGAAAGACAAATACCATATGATCTCACCTTTAAGTGGAATCTATTCAACAAAATAAACCACAGGCAAGGAAACATGGAGCAGACTGAAAGTGACCAGAGGGGATGGGGAAGGAGGACAATGGTTGAAAGAAGGAGAAGAGACTAGACAAAGAACATGTATGAATGCCCCATGGGCATGGACAACAGAGTGGGAACTGACTGTGGGAGTGGGGGTTGGGGTGAGATGGGTGGAGGGGGGCAAAGGAGGAAAAATGGAGACAACTGTAATAGATAAACATGATTTAAAAATAAAAATAAACTTTATTGAAGTTATTTTTTTAAAAGTGCACCAACTGTGACTGTTCATGCCACTTAATGAATTTTTATAAAGTGAAAATATCCATATAACCAGCACGATATCCTGAGGTATTTTAATGGAGTTACCATGAAATAGGGAATATAGCCAATTCTATCCTAAGGAACTATGTTCTTTAGCTGTGGCTCCAAAATGAGGGATCTCCACATAGGTTTATCAGATATGACATATGTCCCTTTCCTTCCTTTATTGCAGCTAAAATTGAAAGATGAGGCTCTGTTGGCAGAGATCCACCTGCTACAGGAGATGGTTGGTTTTGGAAATCCATCTTTCTGAATTTCCATTTCAGCTGAAGAATTTTCTCTACGGGACTCTCAGCTTTTTTTCTTCCAGGAGCTATTAAGCCCTGGATGCTCCACCATGTAAGACCTGGGGATAGAGAACGAAAGAATCTTCGCCATAAACAGAAACCCACTCATTTATTTCCATTGGCTATCTTACTTGGTATCAAATGTTACTGGTTGTTTTTACTGATTGACAGTACAATGGACGACAATAAAGAATGGAAATTAGAGATTCAAAATTCATCAGTGTGGTTCTGGAGTTGTTATACCGAGGTATATATAAGAAAAAATATATATAAAATTAAGGTATAGTGGGTTCATTATTAGGGTTTCTTGTGAAAGCTAATTGGGACCACTCCTGGAGGAAGTGAACTGCTAAGGTCCCTGGCCAGGTTTACTTACTGAAACTTAGGAATTAAGGCATCATTTTCTAAGGTGGAACTAAAGGAATAAAGCTGTGCTGGGTAACTGTATTAGGGCAAAAAGCATATTAGCTGTCTGTGGCCAGGCCATTTGGATTCAACGGTGAAGAGAAATGCTAAGTAGAGAGGTCTTTGCTAAAGATACCACCTTTATCTTCATGGATCTAGTGCACAAGGGCTCTATAATGAGTCCATTACCCTCTTATGGATGCAAAACTCAAATTGAGGTCATTATTCTAGGGCTAAAGATGACAAAGGAACCATACTTCACCCCTGTTCTCCTGGGTCACTCACTGCATAGCAAAACCATGAATAAAGGCTCCCTATACTTTATTGTTTAGAGAGGTGAAGAGAATAGAAGGGGAGGTGAGAGGCATATTAGTAAACATTGAAACATGAACTCTAAAATCATTTATAGTCCTTTTCTAAGTCTGGTGTTACCTCCCTGTCTCCCCGCCAGACTGTGACCTTCCTGTGGGCAGGACAGCGTTCTTTCATCTTTGTGTTTTCAGGGCTGCACCTTGGCGCTTACAGGTGCTCAAAAACGTTTGATGGAAGGAATGAGTGGCGGAACACTGTAGCGCTTCTCTTAGTTGTTCCGGGAATGCTCCCAATACTCTCTCCACCAGGGACTCCCAGGTCAGCACAGGCCGTGAGCACCCAGAACGTGAAGATTACTCTGCTATCCCTGCTATTAGCAAATTGTAGCTGGCCTTTCCTTTTTTTTTTTTTTTTTTTTTTTTTTGGTGGCAGTTTAAGGGAGGTACATTCGTGTTTACTGTGTTGCATTATGGGGAATGTAGGCGCGGAAAGCGGAAAGGGCTGGGCGAGAGGACCAAACGCTTCCGGCACGGGCACCCGAGGCATTTGGCCGTGGCTCACGGCTCTGTCACTCCAAGGTTTTGCAACGTTGACCCTGCACATCCGACAGAGGCAGTAGAGCTGATCCTTGCAGGCGGCGCGACGCTCCGAGGAGCCGCTCCTGGCTCACCGTCCACAGCGCACGCTGGCTGCATCATGGTCCAGCTTAGTGAGTGACAGGGACCCGAGAGACCTTCCGGGCGGCCCCAGGGGCATGGAGGACTGGAGGGGAGCAGCGCTGTACTAGGGAAGCTTGAAGCAACCCGAACCTGAAACAGCCACACAGCCTTATGTTTGACCATACTCCTCATTCTCTTCTCACTTAATTCCCCCTGAAGCCCTGTGACATAAGTGGCATTCATTTCTAGATGAGGCAGCTGCGGCCCCTACCTGGTCACCGAACTAGTAAGTGGCAGGCCTGTGCTGAGTGAATAGAGGGTTGAGGAGGAAGTCATCTGGGGGAATATGTAATAAGGGTTTCACAAGGAAATGGTTTCTAAGCCAGATTGACAAGAATTGGTTAGTAATAAGGATTTCCATTGGAGGAAAGGGAATGTTTCATCTACCTCATTTTACCCATTTTGTGCCCTCATTTCTTGTGTCTTAACCACTTATTTCTCTATAGCTACTCTCCTCTGCAAGGCCTACCGTGGAGGCCACTTAACCATCCGTCTTGCTCTGGGTGGCTGTACCAATCGGCCTTTCTACCGCATAGTGGCTGCTCACAACAAGTGTCCCAGGGATGGCCGTTTCGTGGAGCAGCTGGGCTCCTATGATCCACTGCCCAACAGTCATGGAGAGAAACTCGTTGCTCTCAACCTGGACCGCATCCGGCATTGGATTGGCTGTGGAGCCCACCTCTCTAAACCTGTGGAAAAGCTTCTGGGTAACTTGACTCTAGCCTTACCTAGGGATTTTAAACTAAAGTTAATTATAGGATGATGGGAATTAGGAATGATTTTCATTACTTGTAGGCTGCTCAGGACTGGAGTGAGGTAAATTTGTGATCTAATTGCGTTTTGAATCTGGAGAACTTTTGCAGACTCGTTTACAAGACTTCTTGGGGGACTGGGAAATTATGCTAAAAATGGGAACAGTGTGTCTCGAATGGCTGTCAGTTTGTCTTTTTTCCGGTAAGGAAAATAGTGTTAAGAACTTGACAAGATCTATTGTCTCCTTGCAGTAAGGTGTTGGGGGGAAGAGATAAGACAGATTGTTAAGTGAGGAGCTTGTTTTAAATCCGTGCTCTCGGTCAGGTCTTTGTTAGACCTCAGTTCTGTGAGTCTGAGTTCCCAGGGAAACACTGGCTTTTTACTATGTTATTACAATCGAAAATCCTGTTGCTTTTAGGTCTTTCTGGTTTTTTCCCTCTGCATCCCATGATGATCACAAATGCTGAGAGGCTTCGACGGAAACGGGCGCGTGAAATTCTCTTAGCATCTCAGAAAACAGATGCAGAGGCTACAGAAACAAAAGAGAGCTGACTTCAATGGGCAAAGCAGCGAGAACAAGGTCAAAGTCCTCTCAGAACACTTGTGCAGAGTTCTTAGTTTTATTAGATTTAGAGGTCAATAAATGGAATTTTCTTTGTCATCCATGTTCTTCTGGCCTGGCCTGAGCATAGTCCTGGGAGAGATTTGTTCTTGTGTGACACAAGCTGGGTCTAGGTGCTAATTAGCTTTTTCAGCCTCTATCTGGGGAAGCACAGTGGCTGTGGGGTAGGTTGGACTTTTGGATTGGGCCCTGGGTCTCTTAGATAACTTTACAGTCCGCTGCCTTCAAAACTTCCCTGTTTCAAAGTCCCCAGCTAATATGTCCATGGCCAGTTCAAGTAATTCCTACCTTAATCATTTATGGTCATCCTACAAGTTCAAGAACACAGTTAATGCCCTGGCTGATGTGGCTCAGTGGGTTGGAGTGTTGTCTCAGACCAAAAGGTTGTGGATTTGATTCCCAGTCAGGGCACATAGGAAAAGGCAACTGATTGATGCTTTTCTCTCTGCCTCCTTCCCTCCCTCCCTCCCTCCCTCCTTCCCTCTCTTTTCTAAAAGCAATGAAAAAATGTCCTTGGGTAAAGATTAAAAAAAAAAACCAAAAAAAACAAAACAAAAACGCAGTTACTTTGCTTACTGTTTTTTTTAATTGCAGGTTTATATTTTCTTAACACAATCTCAAATTTACTAAGGTAAATTTATTACGCACTTTTAGGCTGTAATAGCCTTTTAATAATGAGAAACTGGAAAAAGTTAATATTGTAAAGTACCTACATACATTCTAGGCCCTTCACATGCAAGGTTATTTGTAAGATTTATACGGTATTACGAAAGTCAGAGAGGACTGTCTCCATTTTATAAATGGGTAGACTGAAGTTCAGAGATGGTAACTTGACCAAGGCCACAGTTTAATATTGGCAGAGCTGAGATTCAGACCCCAGTGTGCCTACTTGGAGAGCCCTTTAAAGTATGTATTGTTTGTAGTGTGATGGCATGGAGGAATAAGAATGAGGGGCTTTTCAAATAAACTTAAAAAGTCAGTGATAGAATTGGGTTAAGATATCATGAGTTTGGTAATATAAATGACTGGCTGTGCCAAAAACCCAAAATACTACATTTTCTGCTCCACCCTAACCTCAGGATTCTACAATCACAAGCATGGATTAGATGGTTTTTGTGCACGTTGGATAATACAGATTTCAAATTCTAGCATAAGACAAATCAGAAGATTTATAAAGGAGACTCTAAAGCCCTTACAATGTACCAACCAATTTTATTTTGGGTTCTATATTCTGGAAACAATTAACAGCCACCTCAAATTGTGGGGTCAAGACTCCCCAGGATTGTTACTGGTTGGCTTCCACTTGCTTTGACTTGGAAGGCAGTGCAAACAGAGCAAGACTGACTTTACCTGGGTTTGATCTTGGATATGGAAAGAGAAATGCTTTCAAAATGATAGGAACTCTGGAAGTTTGAAAGATACACTGGAGAGTTCAATAGAAGCTTTAATTGGTAGAGCAAAAGAGAATGTGATTTTGAAAAGTATTTATCAGTGTGGGGAACTGCTGTGAAATAGGTTAAGGTAGGGAATTTTTTGAGGTGCAGTTTCTGCCAACTCATGTGTCCACTTTGTGCCCTTGCCTCTCTTTTGCCTAAGACTTGTACATACATATTTCCTGTGTGGGCTCATCCTCACCCTGATTTCCAGTTTTCTCTAGGCCTAGCCTTGCCTTGGATCTCCAGGCCCGTATTTCTCACCATGTCTTAGATGATTGCATCAGCCACCACCTTTAAATCTAATAGAGTCAAAATTCAGCTCTGCACTTTATAAAGCATTAAAAAGAAAAATAAAAACCCTTTGCTTCAGGAGCTTATATTTTTATTAAGATGAGGATTTGAGTAGTTACCTCCACCAAAGTGGAAGGTGATTCCGGAGCTGGAGAGTGAATGGGAATGATTCTGTATTGTCAAATCTAAAAGTCTTAAATATAATTTTTTTAAAGACCTGTATTTTGTGCTTTTTGTTTAATGCAGGCTTTTTTTCTTACAGGGCTCAAAGGAAGTACCTACCCCACAGTCCCATCCTGTAGGTTGCAAAATTATTTGAGCCTTAAATCTTTATGTATTCTTGTCAGGATCATCTTTGAAAAATAACAAATCTATTTAATTATCGTTCTTTGAAAAAAAAAGATGTATACGAACCGTGTGAAATTAACAAATGCCAATGTTACGATGTTTTGTTGCTTTAAAAAACAAAAACAAAAACAAAACAATGTATGTAGGTCCAACCTAATACGGACATTCCATGTATTAAAAGATATTTTACATAGGCACATTCGGGAGAAAATAGGCACCGCGGAGGAGAGGGCGTGGCGGCCTTCGGGCTTCTTCCGCTTCCTCCAAGTAAGGTGGCTCCCGCAGGTGGCTCCCGCAGAAGGAGAAATCCGGGACGCCTACTGGGCTCCGCCTAATGGCAAGCCGACACTGGTGTTTCCGAGACCCATTTTGCGGCTGCCGTAAAGTGCGGTGTGGTGGTCACGCCCCTTTTTGCGCCTCTTGTGACGCCGGCGCCCTGGCCGTTTTGCGCGGGAAAAGAGAGCAGTCGGGAGCTCTAGGCTGCCCCGCTGGGACCCGCTTTTCGTGTAGGCTGCCGCAAGCTCCGCACCTCTGCTGGCTATGGGGCTGCTGGAACTGTGTGAGGAAGTGTTCGGCACCGCCGACCTTTACCGAGTGTTGGGTGTGAGGCGCGAGGCCTCAGACGACGAGGTCCGACGCGGCTACCACAAGGTGTCACTTAAAGTGCACCCGGATCGGGTGGGTGAAGACGACAAGGAGGACGCCACCCGTCGCTTCCAGGTACGCGAGTCTCAGCTCCACCGGCCGCCCGGGGCTGCCGGTGGTCTTCTGGCTGACTGGCCTCTGCCATGTGGATTGCCCGAAACCCGGCCTGGCGTTTTCTATTCTCTTTCTCCCGGCACGGTTTCTGTGAGAGGGACACGAATGACTTTTGGATGCTCTTCCTCCGCAGATCCTCGGGAAGGTGTATTCCGTTCTGAGTGACAAAGAGCAGAGAGCAGTGTACGATGAGCAGGGAACAGTGGACGAGGATTCTGATGTGCTCAACCAAGATCGGGACTGGGAGGCGTATTGGAGGTTACTCTTTAAAAAGGTAGAAGACTCCGGAGACTGTTTTGCGACTATTCCCGTCATTTATTCAACAGCGTTTATTGAATGCCTCTGAGGCATTGCCTTTTGTGTTGTGCAGGAAGGGGAATTTGGTCTTGAAATATACAAACACATATACACAGAGGCATTCCTCAGGACATATACGGTGTGTACTGTATGTTCTTGAAGAAAAACACATTTATTTAACCGTAAAGTTGAACGATTTATATGTGTGTGTATATGTACATACACATACTCTTACTGAAATAAGTCTTTACCTGTTGATGTAGAGTGATTGTAATGAAGGGTGGGGGCTTAATTTTTTACAAGATGTGCTTTGCTTTACATATCTAAATGGAAGTCCTGAGTGTTTCTCTGGATCTTTTCACACCATTGGGAACATTACTTAAGTTTTCCTGGTCCATAATTTAGTAGTTCTGAAGGTTGGACTACAGAGAACTCTGGAAAAGCTTTTGCATAGAAAATTTGGTTCCTTGCAACAATTTTAACTCAGCAGCTTGTATTGGGAAGAAATATTTTAACACCTAAGTCTAGTTTTAAAGTAAAATTCTCAAAGTTAAAGCACATGTTTCTTATTTGTTTAGATATCTTTAGAAGACATTCAAGCTTTCGAAAAGACATATAAAGGTTCCGAAGAAGAGTTGGCTGATATTAAACAGGCCTATCTGGACTTCAAAGGGGACATGGATCAGATCATGGAGTCTGTGCTTTGTGTGCAGTACACAGAGGAACCCAGGATAAGGAACATTATTCAACAAGCCATTGACGCTGGAGAGGTCCCATCCTATAATGCATTTGTCAAAGAATCGAAGCAAAAGATGAATGCTAGGAAAAGGAGGGTAAGATTTTGAGTGCTATTTATCATTTATATCTTGACTGCTTCCAAAAAGAATTTGAGGATATTTACAGTAATGGAAATACAGACAAAATCACAGAAATAAGTATTAGAGTTAACTTGCTATGTAGTTCTTATTAAATAAAATGAGCATATCAACTCATCAAGAGAAACTTGTTTTCCCTAGTATGTTGTGCTCAAGAGAATTTTACTGCATGGATTATTTAAATACTATCATCTTAACACTGAAACATTCTTCACATGGGCCAATCCTGTAGCTTTCCTGAGGCACTGCTTTGGATATAAAGTAATGGAGTCCAGATACATAGGTACAGATACACCCAGACTCCTGAGTTGGGCCCAGAATATGTATCTTTAAAATCAAACTGAAGTGGAAAAAAAAACCCCTAGTTTATTTTGGTGGTGTCTCCAAACACTTTGAGGAACACTTTTGGAGAACCAGGCTTGAGACCTGTGTGTCCTTTATATCCATATTAAATGGGGAGTTGGTGGTGGTAGGGCTGGTGGTAGGGGAAAGGAGCTGTTGGTAAGGGAAGGGGTGGTAGGGGACAGCTGGGATTCCAGGAGGGAGTAGATTCAAAGTAGCAAGCATCTGTGTCTCTGGTCTTTTGGGGTAAACAAGACTAGTGCCTAAGTAGCCATTGCTTTAACCTGACATTCATAAGGGGAAGTCCATAGAGAACAAACAATGTGAGATTGTAGATACCTGGTGGGTACCTTAGGTGGATATCTTATTTTGTATGCTGAATTTGGAGTGAAAATAAGTGCACAGCTTTTAATACAAGATAATTAATACAGAGGGGAAAGCTGACTTACGTGTGTTGAGTTGAGAGAAGTAAAATGTGTATCAAAATATATCATTTTGGCCCTGGCCTGTGTGGCTCAGTTGGTTGGAGCATTGTCCTGAAACCGAAGGGTTGCAGGTTCGATTCCCAGTCAGGGCATATTACCTAGGTTGCAGGTTCCGTCCCTGGTCCGGATGCGTACAATCCCCGGTCCGGGTGCATACGATCCCCAGTACAGGCATGTATGGAAGACAACCAATCAATGCTTCTCTCGCGTATTGGTGTTCCTCTCTCTCCCTTCCTCTCTCTAAAAAGCAATGAAAAAAAATGTCTTCGGGTGAGGACTTTAAAAAGTTATTTTGTCTTATAGGCTGCATCTATTTAGACTCAAGATGACTGTTCAAGTAGGTAATCATTTTCTCAGGTGAAACTGAGCACAGCAGTATTCAATAATAGGATATTAGTTTGAGAAACTTCCCTAGAGTATTGGGAGAAGGGGATGGCATAGTTTTGAGAGACTCCAGCACACCTGAGGAAGGGGGTGCAGTATTAAGAGGAAGTGGTCTCAAAGTAGGTGATGGAAACTGTCTATTGGAATAAAAAAGTCCTAATGTATCATCATTCCCAGTATTAATAATATTTGTTGCTATTTAGAAAATTCACTGGGGTTGGAACCTCTTAGTTTTAGTTGTTGCCCTGAAGGAAAAAAAACAACTTATTTACCTTTCCCAAGGTTTTCTAGTAGTATTTTGGAATCAGTACCCTAGGAAAATTTGGCGAAAGAGGTGGCTTGAAATCAAGTAAAGAAAGGTTAAAACTGATTTTATTGTGTTTATTCTGACTGCTTGGGAGAACTTTAAAATAAGGATTGCTTTCAAGGCTGACACCAGTTACATGTAGTAAATTGGATTCCAGGGGAGGAATCTCAGGTGCCTGTATCCTGGCAGTATTTTTGAGGGGATCCTTCATTAAGTGACCTTTCTTAGTCCTCCAAGCATTTTGTTTTCCTTCCTATCATCACATGATTATTAATACCGAACTACTTGCTACTCCTAACAAGATGGGGAAAACGCAGAAATTCTTATTAGAATCAGAATATATGCTTGTTCTCAGCAATTTTGCCTTTTAATGAATGGCATATTTATGTAATTTTATTCTAAATAATCCTCAAATTGAAAGGGTCATAGATTTGCTTTTGGCAAAGAGGATATATTTTTAGGTTGAAATGGAGTCTTATGTGAACTTCTGTTTTAGGCTCAGGAAGAAGCTAAAGAAGCAGAAATGAGCAGGAAGGAGTTGGGACTTGATAGAGAAGATAACTTGAAAGCAGTCATTCAGGTAAACTTGGCAGGCTGTTTGTGAAGGTTGCCGCCATTTCTTCATGATCTGATTCCTACTGTTAATGTTTACTTTGGAGTATATGTATAATGTTGTGGGTATTCAGTCTTTTTTTTTTTTAAGCCATAATTCACATTATATATTTATCTTTTTAAATTGTACAATTCAAAAGTTTTTTTTATATTCATCAAGTTGTACAACCATCTAATTCCAGAACATTTTATCACCATATAAAGAAACCCCTTACCCATTAGCAGTCACTCCCTATTTTCCCTTCCTACCAGCCCCTGGCAACCATTGAGTACTTTTGTGTCTATGAATAGTCTTGTGTTTTGAAAGTTTGTGTTTTAACTCTCAAACAGAGCAGACAAAAGGATCGGCAAAAGGAAATGGACAATTTTCTGGCTCAGATGGAAGCAAAGTACTGCAAACCTTCCAAACGAGGAGGAAGAAAAACAGCTCTCAAGAAAGAAAAGAAATGATGGAATTTTCTCGTCAGAAGTTATTAGGTGTTAGCTGATGGCATTGTAGGCAAGGTACAGTCAAGAACTGAAGAAAAAGTCAATTCAACCCTTGAGAAAAGTTGTCTTTCCCGGCTAAATTATTCAGATTAAGTACATAACCCAGAGTCACTCGACCTGATCTTAGTATATCCTAGAATCTTCTGGTATTCCGTGAAGTCCTCCTATGAAGGAATTTGGTGGTGATCATTGAGGTGAGAGGGAGAGGTTGTTATACTTCTGACGGCTCTTGCTTCTGTGGATCTTCTGTACAAGGAACTTTACCTAGAATGTGGGTCTGTCCATACTTCCTTTACCAGCTGTCATATTGCCACACAAGAGTGAGCTGCAGAGTATCCAGAGTGGTGTGGGTGATTACTAGGACAGGTATTCCACCTAGCAAGAATGACTTCAGAACACTTGCTGGACATCGGTCTTCCAAATACTTGGCAGTTTGCTTTTGGTCTTAATATTCTTAAACAGATCCTCTCTCTCTTTCTCTCGCGTTCTTTGTTTCACTCAACCAGGTTTTGTACCCTTTGCTTGAAGTATAGGAAAAACAGTTGTTCACATGACTTCAGGCATCTTTATAAGACTTAACATGATTAAACAAGTAAAACACGCCTTAAGTTTTAAATGATCACTGGGATATTACTGCTCAGTGTTCTTGGGCAGGTCACTGAGCTTGTCTGAACTTGTTTTCTCATCCATGAAAGGGTGAGGGAGTTTGGGTAAATAACTTCTTAGAGGCCCCTCTGACTCTTAACTCTGATTTTGAAAGGTAAGCCATCAGTGGTGTGGTTTCATGCACTCATGGTATTGATTTGTAAGAACAGTACAGAGATTTTCACTTAGATGTAGTTGAATCGTATGTATTCATTAGAATATGTGGAAGGTTTTTAGGGACTGTTCAATCTAAATCTCTGGTTTGTAGAGTAACATTCAATGCCATATGCATGAAATAAGCCTTCTGTTACTGAGCTTTATGTATCATAATTTATCAGAGATAAGCACATGACATGTTTTGAGTTTGTGATTATACACAAGTTAAAAATATACTCTTGTATTAAAAATATAATTTAATGCAGGTTGTTTAAAGTGTCTCCATATGATAGCATTAGAACACTTGGATGTAATACAAAAATTATCCCAGTTTATGATCACTTGAATTTATCCCTCTGAAAATTAACAATAAGATCTAAAACCGGTATGATCCTTAAAAGTTGAATGAAATTTAAATAAAATAAATAAAAGCCACAGTTAAAAGCATTGCTGCATTCATGGGTGCACTCAGGAGAAGGTTCAAGGTAAAACTAGAAGAATGCCAAAGTTCTCTACTTTTGCTCTTAGGATATGTTCATACCAGAATAATCACCAGGTGTCTGAAATTTTAGGGAATTGTATCTTGCAGGCTCACTAGGAGAAAGATTCTATTAATTTTTAAATTGACTTTTAGAGCTTCAGGAGAAAACCTGGCAAGTTGAGTTTAATATTTGGGAAAAAGTATGACCACTAAGGATAACAAGCATAACCGGATACCAAGCAGGCATTGTGAGGTTGAGCTGTCCTATCTGAGAAAAATAATATGCATTATGGCTTATTACATATTACTTTACACCAGTATTTAATATTTACGTCTTTAAGTTACTCACCCCTTCCATATCTTATCTGCCTGTGGGATTGGACATCTAAAGAGAAAGCTTTAAGAATGACATCTGTTTAATGAGCAGCTTAGATTTTTGATAGCCCTGTCTTCTAAAAATGACTTAAAACTGGGTACAGCTCTCCAGAAGTTAATATAAGCAGAAGTATTCCAATGCCAGTGATGACAATGTTATCAATCATTTACTACTTTTTGTGTATGTATAGTCTTATAGAATCCTATAATAATTGAAGTGTTCATTGTTAACAGACAACATGAGCAGTGATTTGGGAGTAATTATTCTTTTGTTAGATCTTTTGGTACAAACTTTACTGTCTGTTGGAATAGTTTAACTTAATACTGAAAGAAGACAGTAACTGGAGATAGAAACAGTACCCATGTAATCTTTGGCAGATACTCGTTTCCTCAGTCAGTTGTACCGAAATAACTTCCTGAAGGTAGTTTCAGGTTCTCTTCTATACAAGCTCTGTATCACACGAACACTGGTTTATGAAATCTTCCCACTTGTTCAGTGCAGCCTGAAGCAGGTTCTTCTCCTTTGCCTTATGGTCCCTGCCTGGTTCTAGAGACTGGCCCACCTCTGTTTAGAGACTTTGTAGACCCATGTAATTGAGGACCTGTAAGATAAAGAGTACATCATAGAGTGACACATTAGTAGACATTCTAGATCTGGTAACCTCAAATACATATCTGAGGGCTCTTTTTGGTCCGGTTGGGTGGACTTGAAATTTGGAGACTGGGAATAAGTAGTAAAGTATATATTTACCAAGGCAACAAAACCTTACATATTTTATGGGAAAAAATCTACGTTAAGATATGAAAGCATAACTTAGTTTTAGAGAAGTTTTTGCTAATTGAAAAAGACTAAAGTGCTTCACTTAACTAAATTTTACACTAGTTACACCTGACCATCAGCATGGCCAAATGTAATTGCTCAGTGGCAAGATCACTTCTCTATGAAGATTGATCCAAGAAAATCACTGAAAGCATTCAGAGACTGCTGTACTGCCACTAGGAACTGAACTAAGAATTTACGTTGACTATGGAGATTTCGTTTGGGGCAGATTACTTTATAATGTACTTGCTGATTAATCTTATTAACAGGAAATAAACTAACTGCCCCACTTTTAAATTTCACAACGTAATGAGAATGACCCTGATGGTGGTAAGAGGACTATTATAGGAAGAATTAAGACATTCATAAATTTTCTCCCATCACTCATGGGAAAATAGAAGCCACACTATGTAACTTAGAAACCAAAAAGTAAATGGGATAGAATCAGACTCAGCATATCTTGACATTTTACAATTTTTTTGGTCTTACCTTGGCCTAGCAGATTAACTGGCCAAGGCAGTTTAATCTATCGCAATATGGATTTTACCTACATAACATTAATGCAGTGTTTGAATGTTATGAAAGTAACTTATTTGGCTGGATTTTTTTAGATTTAAAAAAAAGTACTATTTACCTTGCCATAGTAGGGAGAGGTTAATTTATATACTATAATGAAAACAGAAATCTGGAACTCTTAGGGTCTGAACAATAGAGCTCTCTATCTTTTTTATTATATCCTATCTTCCAAAATGAATTTGAGGTGACTTGCAAAGATGTAGGTACACAAAATATAAAATCCAGAGGAAAGGAAAATAATCATAGAATTTTAAAAAAGACAAAGGCAGGGTCCTAACACAGCCACATAGTGGCAGAACAACAGTCATGGCCCCACCTGTTCCTGCAGATGCCCTCCCAGGTCGGGCCTGATGAGGATACTCAACAGCGCATGAGTGATGATACTGTGTGTCTGGCTGAAAAAGAAAAGAGTTATTTTGTACGATGCTATGTCTCCTAAAAGATAATAATGTGAGTAGATTTACAAGGGAAAACCTTGAAATTGGACAACAATGTAAATGGCATTTACTGCTAATCTGAGGGACAAGTTGGCTGAGTGCACCCTGTTACATTCCAAGGGAAAAAACCCAGAGGCCCACAGAGCCATTTGTTAACTTGTAAAAATCACAAGTTTTACAACTTTATTAATATGCCTTTAAGAGAATATTGGCATTTATAAATAATCTATAATGGTTTAATATTTCTAAATATAATTGGCTGCCAAGGCAATTTAATACAATTTCTATTGCCTGCAGACTTTAAAACAACAAACAGCTTTTTCAGCAGCATTGCAACAGCCATGACTTCTATATTTGAAATGTAATTCTCAATGTGAAACATTTCAAAATTATAAAGATTTTAAGGTTAAAATATTAAGATGTGAAATATCAAAAAAGAGCTATCCATGCCATCTCGCTGGCACTCTGGAATAAAAAAATTAAGTCCATGGCAGAGCGTTACAATTAAGAGATTTCAGGAATTTTTTTTTTCCTGGTAAAGCCAAATGTTTTTGATCAGGAGTCAGCAAATTTATTTGTAGAGTGCCAGATAGTAAATATTCTAGACTTTGTGGTACACACTGCTGTTGTTGGAACTGCTCAACCCTACAGTTGTAACGGGAAAGCAGCCAGAGACAGTACATGAATGAGCATGATGGCTGTGCCCTAATAAAACTTATTTTTTAATACAAAGAGGTAGTAAGCTAAATGGCCTGTGAATGCTGACTTCCATTCTAGATAAGACCACCACGGAGCAGAGTGCTAGTCTGGCAGTGCCAGGCCCAGGACTCAGATTTAGTGTTTTTAGTTACATTGAGCTACTAGCTCAACCCTTTTCATGAAAGCAAATTGAGAGAAATAGTTAGGGTAAGAAATTTTTACTTTTGTTATTGTTATAAAACTATGAAAGTGAAGAAACTTACATTTTTTCATATGTTCACCTTTACTTTTAAAGCAACCAAAAATGTTTGATGTGAGAGAATCTAGCTGTAGAATATAATCATCAAAAACTGCTTAACAAATGTTTTGGATCAAATTATGAGAAGACATTTATCAAAGGTTCTCAAACTTTCTAGTGTTCACACTCAGAATCAGAAGTGCTCACACTTCCCTTTTGCCTATGTCTTGGGTGAATCACCCTAAATCAAACCTCCTGGGGTCTATTGGGGTAAATAGTGTCTCCCCAAAGTTTATATCTACCTGGGACCTGTAAATGTGGCTTTATTTGGAAATAGTATCTATGCCGATACAATCAAGCTAAAATGAGGTCATACTGGATTAGGGTGGGCCCTAAATTCAATGACTGGTATCTTTGTCAGAGGGAAAATTGGAAGAAGGCTATGTGAAAATAAGCAGAAATCTGAGTGATGCAGCTGCAAGCCCAGGAACACCAAGGATTGCTGGCAACCACTGAAAGCTAGGAAGAGGCAAGAAAAGATTCTTCCCTCAAGCCTGAAAAGGGAACATGGCTCTACTGACCCCTTGATTTTGGACTCTTAGGCTCTGAAACAGAATAAATTTCTATCATTTTAAGCCACCCAGTTTGTAATAATTTGTTACAGCAGCTCTAGGAAACTTAATACAGTATCCCATTCATCTATTCTAGTGGAGGATTGTATGGTGCTTTAGGCTCCAGCAGCTCAAGGGTTATGAGTTAAGTGGGCTGCAAACACCACTATCCTGGAAACATGCAGGTTGTATGGCCCCTCTTATTTCCCTAGGCTCAGCAAGCCCTCTGCCCACAAAACAGATGAGATGGGGCTGAGCTGGTGTACAGTTGGGCAAGGTCAGTGCATGACTGCCAACCTCCCAACAAGGCTTTTTCTATTGCTTAAAAGTAAAGGGGCTAGTATGCGAAATGGTATGGCAATGTTAGCATCTTGAACAACTAAAAAAAAGAAAGTCCTAACTTGCCCACCCACCAGTCCACATCATTATCTGATACTACTATTGGTGTAACGCCATGAGAGCAGCATTAGAAAATGAAGTTATGCTTCCCTAATATGCACTGACATTTAACTTTTTTTTTTTTGGCTTACTCTCAGAAATATCTAAACTTCAAATTGTTAAAATATAATTTATACATAAGGCATTTGTGTTTGTGTGTGTTACATGATGAGTTGGCTCTGACTCCTGGTGACCATGTGAATGAGTGATGTCCACAAGGTCCGGTCCTCAACAACCCTGCTTATGAGCTCCCGTAGACTCATGCCTATGGTTCCTGTTATGGAGTCAATTCACCCCATACTTTGTTTTCCTCTTCCTGCTGTCTTCTACTTTTCCCAGCATTATTGTCTTTTCCAAAGAAACCTGCCTGCTCGTGATGTGCCTGAAGTAGGACAGCTTCAGTTTTGTCATTATGGCCTCTAGTGATGTTTCAGGCTTCATTAGCATTTTACAAAACCTTATTCTACAATTGAAAAGAACAAGTGGCAGTGACCCATTCAAATTTCAACAAGATGTTCTTAAAGCACTATTTTCATTTTTAGAACCTCAACTTTTATGCTTTGAGTTGATTAAGCCACTATGGAAAGTCTTAAATCCGCCAAACTAGTGTTTTTTCCCTTTCCCCAACTATCAAGACCATAGAGGAAACGTAACTACCAAAAATGACTGAGTTGTGTTGGGCCTGGAGAAAAAGTCAGGTAAAAGGAGCCTCTCCTGGGGCTGCTGATGGTTAGGCTCATCCACCACTGCACTTCGAGCTCGATTAGAATCCCCGTGGGTTTTCTGTGATAGAGAAAAAATTATAGAAACAGTTAAAACAATTTACTATGCGTGTCCTACATCAACCCTACCAAGCCAAGCACCTCCAATTCCATTGTCATTAAGTAGAATTCAGTATTGCTTTTGACAAAATACAGTGTAAATTAAGACCAGAACACAGGTCCTACAGAATTACTACAGATGAGGGTTTATAAGCAAAGGCAGTAGGAAACATACCATTTGCCTTTGTGGCCCCACAGTGCTCAAGTGTTCCACTTCAGCTGTGCCAATAGGTGGCAGCAGATTATTTCGACTCAGGGGCATTGGTGAGGGAGAAGACAGGGAGTCGGCCCCCACCTGGCTGCAGATCAAGCAGTGAACACCAAAACATGAAAGCATAAAGTTAGAACAATGCAAGCAAACTGATCAGAATCAAATGAACAGATGAATATAATGTCATACACAGAAAGCTTTAAGCTGTCGTAAGTTTGTAAGTAAAAAAATCTCAGTGAAAGGACTTTGGGTTTTTTCATTTTTTGTTGAAGCTATTCTGGACACAACAGAAGCTGACCCTTTCTCTCAGAAATCTGAAATAAAAGTTTGCCCTGACCTGGCTAGTGTGACTCAGTGGATTGAGTGTGGGCCTGTGAACTGAAAGGTTCGATTCCCCGTCAGGGCACATGCCTGCATTGCAGGCTGGGTCCCCAGTTGATGGCATGCAAGAGGCAACCAGTCGATGTGTGTCTTGCACATCAATGTTTCTCTCTCCCTTCCTCCCTCTCAAAAATAAAATCTTTTAAAAAATTTTGTTTTCCCACCTATGGTGTTGCACTTCTCTACCAGTAATGGATCTGTAATTTCACTTCTGATGGAATTCACTGTTCTGGGCCTTCTGATTGTCCTTTTCACTAACTATAATTCCCAGTAAAATCCTACACTCACTTTCTTCCATGGGGTTTGGAGCAGTTTGCTGTGCTACTCATACCAAAGACAGTAATTGAAACAATACTTTTCATGTCCCAGAACAAAGCAACTTCTTTTTCCACTTTGAAAAAGGACTGTCAGAAGGAATGAGAGATTTGTTATACATCAAGACCACTCATTCTTAAACGAATGAACCTATCACTGTGTAGATTCATTCTATATAGAACACTATTTTCATTGTTAGAACCTCAAGTTTTAGATTAGAATGAATCTATATAGTGGTATAGGTATAGCATCAGCAACATAATAAAAATGAGCAAATGAGATGAACCCTGGTGTTCTGGCACAGATTTTTGGTGGTTTTTGACATCTCTTTTAGTGAGTCTATTGGAATAAATTAAAACAAATTGAAAAATCAAAATCAAGAAATAACATGTTGGGAGACAAGTATAGTGAAACGTGCTTAATTTAGAAGCTGAATTCAAAACAGTTATGGCTTTATTATTTCATACCCTTGGTCATAATCTTAGAAATCAACCATGTTGTTTTGTGAATTAACTAAAGAATTTAATTTTAAAATACTGATATTTTTTGCACAATGAGGCTCAGAGTGTGTAGCAAATGAAGGGTGGGAAAAGGGGAGAGGACATGTGTACTGTTACTTCTTAAGAAGTGCTGAGGGTTATTTTTCCTGGAATATAAGCTATAAGCAACTACTTCTCTAACATTTATGAAGTTTTCATTGGCAATGGTATAAGCAGTTCCCAATGGTACAGAAAACATTAAAAGAGAATTAACTGTAATTGTGGGATGAATTTCACTGAACATGTACCCACTAAGGAAAATGTTTAATAAAATACATATACCTTTTATTCCTTTGGTAAGTGTCACTGAAGTATTCTAGCTAATATTTTATTTGTAGAAATAGAAATCTTCAGCTAAATCAACAGAAAGATCCAGTATCTGCATTCACATTTAAACCAATTTTTTTCTGTAGTGGATGGATTTGAACCAGTGTGCAATCCATCGTAAGAATACATAATGATTAGTTTCTAGACACACATTTCAATATTTAAATTCATTCTTTATGTAAAATTTTCATTAGTTTTACCACAGTTTCCAGAAATTATGCTTTTGACACTTACACTCGGGATCCTCTGAGGATTTCTTCCACGGGTCTTGGTGTTCCAGCTCGGGAATGGCTTGTGCTGATGGGATGAAGGGTACGTGGTGGGGGATTGCGTCTCCTGGCAGACTGCACAGTATACGACAGAGATGATGTACAAAGCTCTAGGGCTCGATTTGACCAATTTCGGGTTGAAAGGGTGGTACTGGACCCAGGCCTCGAAAGTAGCTTGTCATCGAGATCTCTAGTGGCCAAAGAAACCCACAGTGAAATCAAGATTGCTCTGTACTGGGAGACACGACTCAAAGGGTAAAAAACAGTCTATAAAACATTCAAGGAAGAAAAGTGCAAAAGTAAAAACTTAAGTAACCTAGTTTTTAGAAGTTACATAATCTAGCTCAGGCATGAGAATGTGTTCTTAAAAGGAGGATATCATTTCAGTGATACACGGAATGGAGATTTGGGAAATAAAGTCCTTTATTCACCTGCCATCACAGTCACTTCCTTAGTCACCAGTGAGGGCTAACCTGAAGGGTACCTTCTGTGAAGTGCTTCCTGAAAGTTTACCTTAGGGACTGAGATTCCTATTGTATTCAAGGCATTCTTTGGTGCTGAAAAATGTCACCAGAGAGACTTAGTTGAAAGGCAAGTATTGCTGCCTGCGAGCAGTGTGATTTCCCCTGTAGAAATGAAAAATGCTGAGCTAATTGGAGCTTGCAAGGATAGGGGTTTGGGTTCCTTGGAAATCTGGGAGCAGGCAAAAGGTCCAGAGCCTGGTGCTGCTAAGGGCAGTAGGACCACAGTGGATCCTCATTTGCATAAGCAACTGTGAAATAGAACACTTTGATATAAGTGCTCTGATAAATAAAATACTTCACTTCAACAGTTCAGTAGCATAAACTCTGCCCTATAGATTTAGGGTTTTTGTATTTTAAGCAGGTGAGAGGATGTTCTATTGTAAAGCATAATGAAATGACGGTAAAGTGAAACAATAAAGCTCTGCCACTTGCTCTTTGGCTTCTGCAAATTCAACCTTTCAGGCCACATTGATGTCCTCTAGTGCAAAATATGCTTCAGGGTTTGGAGGACTTTGAAAGGAAAATACCCATCAAGGAATAGGGCTAAGCCTTGAGCATTACAAGAGATGTTCTGGTCTTCCCGCTTCACTGACCCTTAACCTATGTATTTTCTTTCCACATCCTGCTTTCATAACTCTGGATTCAATTATCACCTCTAGCCAAGTGTGACTTCTAGATCAACTGCCAAATATGACCTCTTGCATGTTTCCTGAAAGATGGCCCGTTGTAAACTCAACACACCCCAAAGCAAACTTACCTTCCCAAACAAGCTTCCCTTGAGTTTGAAATTTCAGACTTTACTGCAATTCTTCTATTTTTATAGAATTTTATTTTTTTATAATCTCCTAATATATTTCATCTTTTTCCCATCCTTTGCTACAACTTGAGTGCAGTCAGACTATTAGTGGCTCATGGTCAAACTCCTGCTTTAGATTCCTAACCTACTTTTCCTACTGTTTCAATCTAATATATGTTCTACTGTTGTGAAATCTTTCAAATTCCTGATTTAAATATATGTACTTCTCAACTGAAACTCATACATTGCTGGTTGAGAGTATAAAATGGTACAATTACTTTGGGAAACTGTTGCAGTTTCATTTCTAGATACCCAAGAAAAATGAGAACATAGGTCCACAAAAAAAAACTTGTACAAAATATCTATAGTGTTTTTATGCATAACAGCCCCAACTTAGAAAGAGCCCAAGTGTTAGAATAATTAATAGAAGAATGGGTAAACAAATTGTATACTCTTAGAACAGAATACGGCTTGGCAATAAAGGAGACGGTAACATGCAATAACATGGATGGGTCTCAAAAACATGGCATTTAATACCCTCCCACAGTTTGCTCCAACTTCCATTAATTTCATAGTCTTTTCTAACCCGCTAATCATACCATAGTCTATTTTAATTCTAGAAGATTCTAGAATTTAGAATTTAATTCTAGAATCTTCAGTCAGAAGCGTTAAAGTCCTGGCCTATTTCCTCCTACAGCAGAAATGGTCCTTCTGTTTTAAGTATTGTATTTTGTATTTTAGCATTTCCAAATCTTTTCCCACATTATTTCTCCTACCTAGAATAGTTTTACTTCTTTTTCTCTGCTTATCCAAACTCCCACCTTTCAAGGACAAGTTCCAAACTACACTTATCCACCAAAATGTGTTCCCTCTTTGGAGCTGTCATAGCACTCACTCTGGGTACCACACATTCGGCACTCAGTCCCAAAAATGCCCTATATGGTTAGGTATTTTTCTACTCATGCGTCTTCTCTTTCCAATTATCAGCTCCTTGAGGGTGGTGGCCTTTACTCTTAGATTCTTTTACTCCCAACATGTCCGATTGCTTGGTAGCTACTCAATACCTGCATGTTGATTGATGACTTTCCTTTTATTCCTCAGTGATCTACTTAAACTCTATAGACTATTAGAATTTTATACATCTTACAGGATTTTGTCCATTAGGGAGAGATTTCTTGGCTGTAGAGGCATTCCATGAACCAAGAGACCATTCACATTTGGCTGATGACCACTTGCTGCTTGACAGAGACTCATCTACATGTTAAAAGAAGATGTTACTCATTATTAGTTGGTGAAGATACCTGCTTAGTTTCCCAACTTTGCCAAAAGTTATTATTTCCAAATTAGGTCATGTATACATTTTTGTCCTGTTCTTTAACTTTTGTAATATTTTGGTCAATAGCCTAGCTGGGGCCCCAAGTTCACTGTCAAGATGACAGGGTCATAATCCTTTCCTAAATGACAGCAGGTAGGGGCAGTGTGACCAACCTAGATGAAAGCACTTAGTAGCCGCTGTCATAGGGAAGAGAAGACCTTTATTGTGAAAAAAAGAAAACACAAATATGAAACAAAAATTTAAAAAATAAGGGTAAACTGTAACATGATCTCTACCACCATCACACATTCCTACATTCTACACAAACTAATTCTTTCTCCTTCACTACTGGAGAAGTCACTTCTCAGTGATAACTGAAATTCTGAAGACTATTTATTAGAAGGATTTAATCTTACTTGGACTGACGTGAGGACCTCAGATCTGCTTCTTTGCTCTCTCAGGTCATCAGTTTAGCCATTTCCTTTGCCATGCACTTTCCTCCAACCTTCTCTCAAGAATGTGTGGATTAACACTTCTTTCTATATATCTTTAACCCGAACCATTTAAGTTAACTGATTAGAGCCTAGATTTCCTAAACCATAGCTAAACCAGTTCTACATGTAGATGTATTTTATTACCATCCAAGCCAGTTCTACATGTAGATATATGTTATTACCAGCCTTGCTGATTTTAACTTTAACACTTTTCTAAATCCAGCTGTACAGTGTCTGCTCAGTGTACCAGTAAGGCAAATACTAGATCTGGTAGTAAAATGCAGGGTTGATGAGCATTGCACAAAGATTAGACTCCTTTTTCTCTTCTTTTTCCCTCCCACTATGTCCTCCTCCCCTGAAGTCTTTACCCCCAGGTAACAATGGGAAATTATCGTGTAGGAAGTGCTACTACGTAATCATTACACAGGGATGAGACCAGTCTCATCAGCAGGCCCATCAACCTTCTGCAAAAAATGGCCATACTTATATTTGTCCATAGGTTTAATTCAGACCACTTTTCTCTGGTTTGCCTTTTACACCTGTGTTATGAGTACTAAATACCCAAAGAGCAAGAAAGTACCAATATTAAAAAACAAAGGCCAGGTAGGCAGTGACAAGAAAAAAGAGTGAATGGATTCAAAAGATACTCAAAGGACAGAATGTTATGGCCTTTAAAAAAATTTGAAATCTGGTCCCTCTTTTTATCATATTCTTCATTTTTCCCAGAACAGTTAGAACAACAGAACAATGAATAGTTGCTCTTAGATTGCACAGTTAATCCATGCCTTTTCAAAAGAGCTAACAGAATAACAACCCTAATTTACTATTAATTTTTCAAACTGAAACTGAATTTTGTCAGTACGTAGAATCACTGGATTATAGTGATAAACATAACTACGGGGAAAAAATGAGTTACAAATAATACATTTAGGGCAGATAACTGAGCAAACATCTTCTGGCAAGAATAGTCCAAGGTTCTCCAGTATATTCCTCTGGGGGGCTTACCAGATTTGTGGTCATCGATAGCACCTTAGACTGTGGCACTCGAGGTAAGACCAAAGGTTGTGGTTCAGTTATCACACAGGGGCTTTCTGAAGGCGATCTGGTGATTGCAACATTACTCTCGTCATCTGAGCAAAAAAATAGAATATTATCCATGGATATTTCCAGACCCATTGCAACAGTACTGTGAAAAAAAAAATCTTCCCTAAGAATCCAGTCTCAAGCTATGCTTTACTCATCTTTGCAGCCCAATTTCATACCACCTGCATGGTTCCAAAAAAATTCTCAAACCAAGAATTTCATTTAAAGAAGTTTACCAAGCTGCAATGTCTATTGGTACCTAGCAGATGGGAAAGCAAATACAGTGGTATCTCGGTACTCATTGTTAGTTCATTCTGGAACTTGTGACAAGTGCCCAAGCCCATGAGTACCAAACAATGAAGCATTTTCTCTTGCAGGGCAGCGTCGTGACTCATGCAAGTTCTAGCAAGTGTGATGAGTCCCGAGCAAGCAACCAGGTGTTGAACCTTTTTTCTCATCAAAATGCAACAAGTATTTTTGTCACATTTAAAATGTTTGCCAAAACATTAAAAACTCTGACAATACTAAAACTGTTTACTTAGTGTTCTGTAACAATACATTACAAACATTGAGAATTAAAATGTTTTCAAACATGAAAAAAAGTGCAACAAGTACAGGGTTTGATCAGTTCTGAAGTGGATGAGTACCAAGGTATGATTGTATCTCCAGAGCAAAAAAAAAAAAGAAAAGAAAAAGAGAAAAAGAAAAAAATAAGGAAAAAAAATCTCTAGAGCAAAGCTGTACAACAGAATATTTGCAGTTGATGGGAATGTTCTACATATGCACTAACATAGTGACCTCTAGCCACATGTAGCAATGAAGAACTTAACATTTAGTTAATTTGAGGAAAAGAATTTTTTTCTTTTTAAATTTTATTTATTTATTTAAATGTATAAATCATGTTTATTCTATTACAATTGTCTCAATTTTTACCCCTTTACCACCCTCCACCCATCCCACCCTCACCCCCCACTCCCACAGTCAATTCCCACTCTGTCATCCATGTCCATGGGTCATGGGTCATTCATACATGTTCTTTGTCTAGTCCCTTCCCCTTCCTTCCACCATTGTCATCTTTCCCCATCCCCTCTGGTCACTTTCAGTCTGTTCCATGTTTCTGTGCCTGTGGTTTATTTTGTTCATTAGTTTATTTTGCTGAATAGAGTCCACTTATAGGTGAGATCATATGGTATTTGTCTTTCATCAACTGGCTTATTTCACTTAGCTTAATATTCTCCAGTTCCATCCAAGTTGTCACAAAAGGTAGGAGTTTCATCTCTTTCTTTCTTAAATGCAGATTGATTTTATTTATTTTTTAAATATCAAAGTTAATTATAAAATATGAACAAATTTAAAACCATTATAAAGTCTCAGCAATTAAACCAACATGACACCAGCATATTTCAACAGAAATAATCAAGTACATCAATGAAATATGAGTATTCTAGAGACAAACATATATATCTGTCTAACAATATATGATTAAGTTGATATTTCAAATCAATGGGGAAAATAAGGCTTATTCAACAAATAAGGTGCATGGACCACTATTACTTGAAATAAAACAAATATAGAGCCCTATTTCACACATTGTACAAGAAATATTCAGGTGAGTTAAAAATCAATATGTAGAATCTAAGGAGTTTTAGAAGAAAATAGAACTAATATTTTTCATGACCTGAAGTAAAATGTTCAAACTCAGAAGCTATAAAATGAATATTAACAATATGACTATATTAAACATTTAACTATATAGTAATATACATATAAAAAAAGTTAAAGGACAAAGGATAGAATAGAAAAATATTTGCAACATATCCAAAACATGGTTAATAGGTTGTTTTTTGTTTATTTGGGAGGGGAGAAAAGTTCTACAAACCTTCAATCAATAAATGGATAAGACTACCAAAAAGTCATTTAAAGTTTTTTTTTTAAATAATAGAAATAGGCAAGAAATATACTAAATCAGGTTTAGTGTCAACAAATAGTAAAGGAACAATTAAAATAACATCATTGTCACAATCAGATTAATGAGTATTAAAACTATTGGTAATATCAAGTATTGGCAACTCAGAAAGGAACTGGGTATTCATAGAAACTTTTTTTTTCATCTTCTTAAAGCAGTCCCTTTAGTATATTTTGCAGTGCTGGTTTGGTGGAGGTGTATTCTTGCAGCCTTCTTTTGTCTGGGAAACTCCTTATTTTGCCTTCCATTTTAATTGAGAGCCTTGCTGGGTAGAGCAGTCTTGGTTGCAGGCCTTTGCTTTTCATGACTTGGAATGTTTCTTGCCATTCCCTTCTGGCTTGCAGTGTTGCTGTTGAGAAGTCAGCTGCTAGCCGTATCAGGGCTCCCTTATATGTTATTACCTCTTTCTCCTTTGCTTGCTTTAGGATTCTCTGTCTTTGATATTTGCTATTTTCATGATGATGTGTCTTGGAGTGGGCCTCATTGGGTTCCTCTTGAATGGGACCCTCTGTGCTTCCTGGACTTGTGTGACTTTGTCTCTCCTCCAATTAGGGAAGTTTTCCATCATTACTTTTTCCAACAGGTTCTCTATCCCTTCCTCATCCTCTTCTCCTTCTGATATCCCTATTATATGGGTATTATTACGTTTCAGGTTGTCCTGCATTTCCCTCAATGCCTCTTCATTCTTTTTGAGTCTTTTCCTTTTCTTGCTCTTTCTGGGAGCTTTTTTCTACATTGTCCTCCAGCTCGCTGATTCCGTCCTCAGCTTCATCTAGCCTGCTTTTGATTTCTTCTACTGTGTTCTTCAATTCTGAAGTTGTATTCATTTCCTCTTGTCTCTTATTGATAGTTTCTATGTCTTCTTTCATGGTGATATAGTTTGCAGTGAGTTTGAGGAACAGAATTTTAAATTAAATTTAATTAGAATTTAAATAGCCACATGTGCCTAGTGACTACTAACACTAGGGAAACTTTCAGCTCATTAATCGAGGCCTCAAAGAATTTCCACACATAAAGTTGCAAGATGAAAACCCACTGTTAAAAATTACAACTCACAAGGAAACAAAACGCCTTGAGAAAGAGCAAGCAAAAACAGCATAATCAAGTCAGCAGAGACATAAGAAATTGAAATTATAAGGTTCAAAATGTAAAACAAGTGAAGCAATTGAAAATATGAGTAAAGGGTAAGACATAAAAATAACCAAGCAGATTTGTAAAATAAAATGAAATTACAAAGAAAACTAAAATTACTAAAAAAATTAAGAAAAACTCAGCAGAGACAATTGCAGATTAGATCCTGCTGAAAACAGACTTAGTGAACTAGAAGAAGAAAAATTTAAAGAAATCCTGAATTCAGCCCAGAGCAAAGGAGGTGGAAAATACGAACTATACACTGAGGGGTGAATTTTACTATATGTAAATTACATCTCAACTTAAAAAATGGGGAAATAAAACCATAATGAAATATCCTTTTATACATTGACAGAAAATTAAAATTGATCGAAAACTATTGATAAGATTGTGAGCACAGGAACTCATGTACTGTTGGTGGATATATATATAACTGGTACTGTCACTGTGGACAATTTGATATTATCTAATGGAGTTGAAGATGCATTTCTATATGAGCCAGCAACTCCAGTCCTTGGTATACACCCTGGAGAAGCTCTTGCATATGTATACCAGGAGGAATGTTCAAGAATGTCCATAGCTTCGTTGATCATAATTACAAAACACTGGATTCTGGCAGGTTTTAGTACTTTTCACCATCAAATTTGGCTCAAAAACTGAATTCAAGATGAGGGATTATGTTTCTGAGTAAAACTAATATGAACTCATGGTGGTCAGTGGTTCTAAATCGCATCCATCATCATTCTGTTTACTACTGTTTCATTCACTCAACAAATATTGTCCAGTGAAGTTTTGTTTCCCCATTAGCAAATCATGAGTAAAATAACTTTAAAATAAATAATAAATATTCTTCCACAATTTAGATTTAAATGCTGGCTTGACTTAAAGTTAAAATGATGGTAAAAATACCAAGTTATAAAAATGAATAAACAATTACATTTACTCAGTTTTATATACTTTTGGGTTACAGTTGACACCTTAAAATAGCACAAGTTGTCATGTGGCCCTACTGTACATATTACTAGCATGCAGTTTGGCTTTATTTCCTTATATAGAGGTAGAAAAAATTTGTACCAGCACCTGCAGGTTGGTCATAACAACAACTAACCAGCAGGTCCACACCAAAGCCAAAAATGGAAGAGTTCTCTTTCCATATGGTATTTTTTTTAAAGTAATGATAATAGCCAACATTTGTTGCACTCATAAATATTATAGGAACTACTCTATGAATTTCATGTAACTCATTTATTCCTTAAATGACCATATGAGATAAATATTAGTATTATACTTGTTTTATAGGTAAAGAAAGTGAGGCACAGCAAGGTTAAACAACTTGTATAAGATACAAAGTTAGAGCCAGAGCCAGTGGTTGAACCCAGGTTGTCTGGTAGCACACTGTGCTTGTAATCGTTATGCCACATGGCTTCTCGTGTGGGTAACATTTTAGAGCAGGGGCTGGCAAACTGACCCATGGGCCAAAGAGGACCCAATACCTATTTTTAAAAAAAATCTTATTGTACCAAAATATCCATAACATAAAATTTAATATTTTAACCATTTTAAAGTATACGATTCATGTCATTAAGCCCATACATTGTGTTGTGCAACCATCACCACTAATTCCATAACTTTTTTTTCACTCCAAAGGAAACCTCATGCCATCACCATCACCTGTTTTTGTAAATAAAGTTATAAGAGTAGTTTGCTTATTCTAATTGCATAGTACTCCGTTGTATGAATATATTACATTCTACTGTTGAGGGACATTTGGGTAGTTTTCCAATAGAAACTATCCAAAATGAAATACACAGAGGAAAAAAGTCCAAAAAAATTAAAAGTATATGAGGGATCAGTGATCAAAATATATGAGTAACCAGAGACCTGAGGAGGATGGTTGGAGTAGGGGATGGCAGAAAAAAATACCTGAAGAAATAATGGCTGAAAACTTTC